TCTGATTGTAAGGCATCTATATCCTGCTGTGAAGTTATTGCCCTGCTCTTATTTGTATCATCAGCAAACACTGAGATTGAACTATTTATACTGACCTCTATATCATTTATGAACAAATTAAACAGAATAGGTCCCAGGACAGAGCCCTGGGGTACCCTACTTACCACTCCAGACTACTCTGAGTACTCGCAATTTATAACTACCCTTTGTATGCGCCCCTGTAACCAATTTTCTATCCATGTGCATATACTATGGTCTAAGCCAACAGACCTCAATTTGTAAATTAAGCATTTATGTGGAACTGTATCAAATGCTTTAGCAAAATCCAGATATACCACATCCACAGGCCTTTCGTTATCAAGATTATAGCTCACTTCCTCATAAAATGTTACCAGACTGGCAGGAGTGGCAGGAACAGTCCTTCGTAAATCCATTACTAATGCTACTATTATCATGTGCAAACTCTTGGATATAGTCTTTTATCATCCCCTCCGATAATTTACATACTATTGATGTTAGACTGACTGGCCTGTAGTTTCCAGGACTATATATTTGCCCTTTTTTAAATACTGGTATCACATTTGCCTTTTTCCAGTCAGCTCGAACCATTCCAGTCCTTAAGCTGTCCAGAAAAATTAGTAATAACGGTCTGGTAATAACCTGGGTAAGTCCTTTAAGGACTCTCGGGTGTAAACCATCCTGTCCTGGTGATTTATTTATGTTAAGTTTTTCAAGTCTATTATGGATATTGGCTTCTGTTAGCCACAAGGGTACATTCTGTGCCGTGTTACTAATAAAACCACCTTGGTTACTATACCTTCATAAATGGCACCATGCACCAGGAGCAATATAGAAGAAAAAGTACGCAGAAAGTTAATGCAAGCACAATACATGATCGTGTAAAAAATAGTACTTGCCATTCAAGATGGTTTTCCACAAATGCAGACATTGGACTAATCTGCACGGTGTATGTGTCATTTGCTGAATACTCAAACAGGCCATAGTATGGATTAAAGAGCTCTTGCGAGAGGAGGAAGAAGAACTCTCTTGAAGGACCACTGTAATCCAGTCTAAAAAAGAAAAAGAAACGAAATTTACTGCAAAATACAAAATACCGTAGAGTGTTTGAAATGCATGTGAAACTCGGGATGCAAGATTCCCATTTACTCCAATGGTTTAGCATGGATGATAGTTTCCAGGCTTCATTTGACCCAATTTGTGTTGCATTTCTTTAGATGTAGTAGATCCTGCTGAGATGCAATTGCATTGCATTTAAAGTAGTTCAGATGCATAGTTTTGCTGTATTTTTAGAACAAATTTTCTCAGCTGCGTAAACGGCACAACTTCTCTATGTAGCAACATCAGAAGACAGCCACTCAGGACAGTATCCAGCAGCTTGGAAGTAGGCACAGCAGGGAAGATTTAAAAAAAAAGTATCCACCTTGAGGTAATGGGATATACACCATGACACATAATTAATATGTATGGTTGTAGAAAATTGCACTCTGTTTTCTCCACTGTAGGCGGCGCTTGAACCAAGTGGTACCACAGCCTGGAGAGAAAGTCAAAGGGAAACACAGTTCCTCTATGGTTTCCTGGGTCAATGGAGTGGATCTATTGAAGTTCCTGCCCCTGAGTTTTGGCGCACATTATGCAGGTGCATATGTATAGGGAGAGGTACCCCACTTGTTAGGGAAAGTAACTAGTGGTAAGGAAAGGTTCCAGATGAGTAGGGAGGGACTAGGAACTTGCTGTTCTGGAAAGGAGCCTTCCCTCTTAGGACCGGACCAGCCAGGCCGCACTTCACTCACTGAAACAGATGCTGTCGGCATCTCTCCTCAGCAAAATCTTTGACTGCATTGAACTGTGAGTTATTTTCTTAAGATGCACTCTCCCTTTGGGATGTTTTAAATGTTGGCATTCTGCTCAGTACAAGTTTCAAGTTTTACTGCAACCACCCACCCACATGGTGCTGTATATCCCCCCACCTCCATTCACCCAGAAAATACTAAATTTAAATTTGTTGTGCAATTGCGCTGGAGCAAGCAAAAGGTGGCACTCCTGCATTTAAAAAAAAAAAAAAAAAACATGTCTGATATGGTATCTCCCTTAGCCCACAAGTAACAGGTTGTTTTTTAAGTCCCATAAAAATTCCAGATTATACCAACGTTTTTGCAGGTAAAAAATTTGGGACTCACTATTAAATGAAGGTGTCAGTCAGTGAATTTACTGGTTTCTTTGAAACACCTTTTAACAAATAGATCATCTAATGCCATTTCATTACTGTATTTCATGTACAATAATTAAGCTGTTATAGCCGAATCAGTGCCTAAATACCAAAGAAATAAGTCACTTAAGTGTCTAATAAAAGATCTATGTAGCCAGTATATGGCTGCTTCTGTGCTGCTATTTGTAATTCAAACGTTTAAGTTGAGTACCAAACACTTTGATCTCGTGGATCCCATTAATCCACTTTTTTTAAACGTATATATAATATTCTTGAGTATTTAAGTGTTCTTACCCCTCCTCTCCCACAAATGTGATATATAACTTGTTCCTCTGAAGCTCTTTGCGGGAGTAAGCCATAACTTGGTTAAACGTTCCTTCCAAAAGATGATCACGTCGTATAATAAGCCTATACAGAAAAAAGTAGAGGCGCTGCTTAGACAAACATACAACATAATAGAGGCCCTCAAAGTATTTTCTTTGGTATGATATACTTGCTGATACATATTTCACATTTCATTTTATATTAAAGAGCAACTCACATATCACCACCTGACCTTCTGTCACCAGGAAGTCTCTACAGATGGCAATAAAACTCGACAGAGGTTCTAATCCTCTCCCGCTTTTTCCAAAACAAAATATTTGTTTGAAGTTGTATTTTTACAGCAAAGTATTAGTAACGTATGAAAAAAAAAAAAAAACAGCAAAGTATATGTTCTGCTCAAACAGCACACCAGTACAGGATTGACTGGTATAGAAGGTTCGGAACGTTTACCGTATTTTCTGGCGTATAAGGCGACTTTTTGACTCTTGAAAATCTTCTCAAAAGTCGGGGGTCGTCTTATACGCCGGTATATGTCAGGGCGGCACTTTTTAGGGGGGCGGCACGGTGCTGCCGCCGTCCCCCCCTTCCGATGGAAGGGACACTAAGTACAGGGGTGGGCAGAGGGCTGCAGTCTCTTACCTGGCTCCCACGACGATCCAGTCCAGGAAGCGCTGCTCCTTCAGTCACTCCGGCCACTCCCTCACTCCTGCCGCTCGGCTCCGCCTCCTTACCGGTGATTGGCCGCCAGAACTGTAGCTCAGAAAAGGCACACAGGCGGCCAATCACGGGTGAGGAGGCGGAGCTGAGCGGACCCGCGTAAATCGAGTGAGGGAGAAGCCGGTAAGTGTGCAGTGCAGAGGTGCTGCTCCAACCACATATGCTGGCTGCAGCAGCACCATACTGGAACAGGAGTCAGCAAGTGTCATTGGTGTCAGTGGAGGAATAGTGCCCCATCATTGGTGTCAGTGTGAGGAATAGTGCCCCATCATTGGTGTCAGTGGGAGGAATAGTGCCCCATCATTGGTGTCAGTGGGAGGAATAGTGCCCCATCATTGGTATCAGTGGGAGGAATAGTGTCCCATCATTGGTGTTAGTGGGAGGAATAGTGCCCCATCATTGGTGTCAGTGGGAGGAATAGTGTCCCATCATTGGTGTTAGTGGAAGGAATAGTGCCCCATCATTGGTGTCAGTGGGAGGAATAGTGCCCCATCATTGGTGTCAGTGGGAGGAATAGTGCCCCATCATTGGTGTCAGTGAGAGGAATAGTGCCCCATCATTGGTATCAGTGGGAGGAATAGTGCCCCATCATTGGTGTCAGTGGGAGGAATAGTGCCCCATCATTGGTGTCAGTGGGAGGAATAGTGCCCCATCATTGGTGTCAGTGGGAGGAATAGTGCCCCATCATTGGTATCAGTGGGAGGAATAGTGCCCCATCATTGGTGTCAGTGGGAGGAATAGTGCCCCATCATTGGTATCAGTGGGAGGAATAGTGCCCCATCATTGGTGTCAGTGGGAGGAATAGTGCCCCATCATTGGTATCAGTGGGAGGAATAGTGCCCCATCATTGGTGTCAGTGGGAGGAATAGTGCCCCATCATTGGTGTCAGAGCGAGGAATCGTGCCCCATCATTAGAATACCATACCATATTGAAATCAAATCTGATGTTTTTTAATTTTTATTTGGTGTGCGTTGGAAGAGGGGTAGTCTTATACGGCGAGTATAGCCCAAACCCTATATTTTAACAGGAAAAGTAGGGGGTCGTCTTATACGCCCAGTCGTCTTATACGCCGGAAAATACGGTATGCGTAAATGTAATAAGACGTACAGCCACGCAGGGTGGCAGAAATAACACAGACAAAGGCTTTATCATGAGCTGACAGATTTGAATGCACCCCTAAAGAATTGGGAATAACATCCAGGCTTGAATAAAGGAACACTGAAATACATTAATCATTTACAGTCCCTGCAGACCATCTTTTTTAGCAGACGATTCCCTTGGGCTATAACCAGAATGCTCCAGGGTAGTCAAAGCAGACAAGCCTCAGAAAAAGTCCAAGTAAGATTTAAATTCCCAGTTGGGAAATGAACAGTTAACAGTAGCATTCCTGAGCTAATCAACAGTTATAACTGTGAGGTATCATAAAATGACTTGAAATATCACATCCATGACCAGACCAGAATTACTCACAGGTACTTTTTAGGTCACATCACAGGTGGCTGGTTGGTTCACTTGTGGGGGTGATGGCAACAAATGATGGTTTAACTACACTCTTCACTCTTTTAGGGGTAGTGCACTCATTTACAGCATTTTTTCACAACTGCCTGAAGCATTTGCACAGTACTGTATACATAATGTATATATACACTATAGTACCAAAAGTATTGGGACACCCCTCCAAATCATTGGATTCAAGTGTTCCTGTCACCTCCATGGACACAGGTGTACACAATCAAGCACCTAGGCATGCAGACGGCTTCTACAAACATTTGTGAAAGAATGGGTCGCTCTCAGGAGCTCAGTGACTCCAAGCGTGGTACTGTGATAGGTGGCCACCTGTGCAATAAGTCCATCCATGAAATTTCCTTGCTACTAAATATTCCACAGTCAACTGTTTGTGGTATTATAACAAAGTGGAAGCAACTGGGAACAACAGCAACTCAGACAGTGGTGGAGTGATAGGCTACATAAAATGACAGAGCGGGGTCCGTTCATGCTGAAGTCGCCAACTGTCTGTAGAGTCAATAGCTAAAGACCTCCAAACTTTGTGTGGCCTTCAGATTAGCACAAAGCATTAGCGCAAAGCATCGGATGCAGTGGTGTAAAGCACACTGCCACTGTACTCTAGAGTAGTGGAGATGTGTTCTCTGGAGTCATGAATCACGCTTCTTTGTCTGACAATCCGATGGACGTGTCTAGGTTTGGTTGCCAGGAGATTGGTACTTGCCTGATTACATTGTGTCAAGTATAAAGTTTGGTGGAGGGTTGATTATGGTGTGGGGTTGTTTTTCAGGGGTTGGGCTTGGCCCCTTAGTTCCAATGAAGGGGACTCTTAAGGCGTCAGCATACGAAGACATTTTGGACAATTTCATGCTCCCAACTTTCTGGGAACAGTTTGGGAATGGCCCCTTCCTGTTCCGACATGACTGTGCACTAGTGCACAAAGCAAGGTCCATAAAGACATGGATAAGCAAGTTTGGGGTGGAGGAACTTGACTGTCCTATACTGAGTCCTGACCTCCACCCGATAGAACAGCTTTGGGATGAATAAGAGCTGAGACTGCGAGCCATGTCTTCTCATCCGACATCAGTGCCTGACCTCACAAATGCGCTTCTGGAAGACTGGTCAAACTTTCCCATAGACACCCTCCTAAACCTTGTGGACGGCCTTCCCAGAAGAGCTGAAGCTGTTATAGCTGCAAAGGGCGGGGCCAACTCAATATTGAACCCTACGGACTAAGACTTGGATGCCATTAAAGTTTATGTGCGTTTAAAGGCAGGTGTCCCAATATGTTTGGCAATATAGTGTGTATATATATATATATAAAAACACACAAAAGTTCACTCTTTTGTGCTCAAGTGTGTTAATTGTCTATTTAGATAAAAAAGGTGACAGGCTTCCTTGCTAGCTTCAGCAATAAATGATAATCCAGGTGCATCTGAAGACTTACTGCCATTTTCAGATATGTGGGAGATTAGAAACTGGATGAAAGAACACAAGAAGGGAAGACCAGCCTTGTGCATTACCTAGGGTACCATTACTAGAAAATATAAAAACAATGCAATATACTCACTAACCCAGTTGGGTTTTAGGCTCAAATACGTAAAGCAAAAAAAACTCCACTAAGAGATTTGAATGACAACTCATGTGCATCAGCGATATCACAAAACAGACACTAACGCATTTCGAGGGGTATGCCCTCTTCTTCAGAGCTATCTGACACCAAAATTGGATGTGTTTAAATCGTAGTATGGATTAGTTTTAGGCCTCACCCCAAAACTCAATGAGATGGAGGAGGGTTAACAATTCAGCAAAGAGATAAAAACCAAATTAAACATAAACATTGAAAGTGATGGAACTGATACAGTGGTATTAAAAAACAACAAAAGAATAGTGATCAAAGTGAAAACAGTTGCCAAATCAAGATCATAATGCTACTACAAAATAGCACAGGAAAGTCACAAAACAGACTGATACAAATACAGATGAGAGCATATTTAAGTGTTCTCACATGGCGACCACTTCCTGTTATCTCACATATATATTATTATTATTATAGCCAAATTTACCCCCCTAACTCCTCCCACAGTTTTTACACTACATAGATAGTAATATACCGAAACGTGCGGATTGTTCCCGATTGGTGTGCTATTACTTTGTGGAACGTTTCGCCGAATGGTTCTCGAAATATCGGCGTTTTTGTGGTGAAATTGGTCCCATAGGAATGAATGGCGGAATGTTCAAAACTAGAGTGGGAGCTGACAAAAGCTAGAGTGTGAGCTGAAAAATCAGGACATGATTTCTAAACTGCCATCACTCCCTCATTTTACAGCCCACCTACACAAATCTTATATCAAAACGTTCAGCTATCCCTGCTGCCACTAAAAATGTCCACGGCTAAGCCGTAGTCCGGATAGTTTTCACAATATGACCATTTGTTTGCAACTCATGCCGCCCATTGACATTCATTGAAACTCCACTCTAGCCACCTCAAATTTGAAGGGCAATTTCTAGACTGCGACTGTGCCTTAATTTTATTATTTCAGAGACATACTATGCATCAAAATGTAGGTCTGGGTCTTGTGATTCTCACAATATAAAGCTTTTCGGTGTAGGATTTATACTTTTTAAAACTACAACCGTTTGAAGATGGCAACCGCCAGTGAAGTGAGCAAGTTGGAGCAGTTTGTTTTTAAATGCTCTTCTCTGCCCTTGCTGTAGAGTGAGTTCCCATAGGAACCCAGGTGTGTGAGCAGGCAGCAGAGTGACAAAAGCTAGAGTGTGAGTTGTAGACTACTGGTGGAGGCAAGAACACTTCACACAATTTCCCTAGAAATTGTAGATTTTCTAGTTCCTTATAAAACACCAAAAAATATGTATACTTTCAGTGTGTACAGTATGTCAAATTTGAGAGTAGTGGTTGAACACCCAGCAAATAATCCCACAAACACGGCCATAGTAATATAGGTACCAATAAGAGCATATTATTCCTTATAAAATACATAAGATACAGCCAACAAATAGTCTCATAAACATACCATGGCCATACTAAATAAACCACTTATCTTCACGCGTACTTTTAAGTAAAAACCTCTCTTCCTCGCATTTCAACAATCACCCCCAACACTGTGATAATGATGATAATTATGATAGTACTGACAGTAAAAGTGCCTGAAAGGTGTCCTTGGCATCTCTAATGACCATGATGCTTACCAAAGACCTTTCTAGATGTCTTAATCTGTCTATGTTCCGGGTGGCATGTGCCTTCGGGCTCTTAAGGAACTTGACATGTAAAGTTATTGTTATTACTAATATGATGATTGGTGTCAGACCATGGTGTCATAACCCCCTTATTCTTCTTGTGCTTCCTAGAAGGACCACCTATAGGAAGGCATGATGTTGGTTTGGACATTTCTTCTCCAGGTCTGGGAAATATATCTTTTAATTTTACTTTACCATTGAGAAAATCAACCCTATCCCTTTCAAATTCACTAGACTTCTGAATTGTGAACCCTCCCTCTCATTGTGTTATGGGGTGTGACTTGTTACTAATCTATTCTACTATTTAAACACATCCAAGTCTGCAGTCAGATAGCTCTGAAGGAAGGGTTTATACCCCTTGAAAGGTGTTAGTGCCTGCTTCTGCTTTCTGATGTTGCTGATGCCTACCTAGAGTTGTGGTTTGAGGCTCTTGGAGTTTGTTTTGCTTTATGTATTTAGGCCAGGCATGTCCAAAGTCCGGCCCGCGGGCCATTTACGGCCCGGGGGTCGGTTTACTATGGCCCTCCAACAGCCCTCCCTGCTCTGTGTAATGTGGCCCTCACACGGCCCTCCCTTCTATGGCAGACAGTCTTCTGCTTGAGAGCAGAGGGCAGTGCGCATGCCTGACTGCGGCGCGTTCTCCCTGGTCTGTGTAAATGCGGCTGTCGCACGGCCCTCCCTTCTGTGGCAGACAGTCTTCTGCTTGAGAGCAGTGCGCATGCGTGACTGCGCCGCGCTGGGAGCGACAGAGGACGGTGATGTCAGGGCCGGGCTTCCAGCGTGAAGTGTGTTTCTCTTCCTCTCCCGGCTGCCGAGCAGAGACTTCAGCTCCAGCTACCTTTTTCACCCTTCACATTAGTGCAGGTAAGTTTTTTTTAAATTTATTTTCAATACATTGTGAAAACTCAGCTGTCAGTTGATCTTAATGTTATGAAATGAAAAGTATGTCGTTTGCAATTAACTTGGCATAAAATAATTTATTTGCATTTAATTGTAATGGTTCAAAGAATGTTCGGAAAAATGTTCGGCCCTCCACCATGTTCACTTCATCCAATCTGGCCCTCTTTGAAAAAGGTTTGGACACCCCTTATTTAGGCCCAATACCCAATTGGGTTTGTAAGTATATTGCATTGTTTTTATATATTCCAGTGAATGGTCCCTTAGGTAATGCCCAAGCCTGGTGCACCTTCTTGTGTTCTTTCATATATGTGATGTGTGTCTGTCAGGGATCCCGGCGCCTCGGCGGTGCGCGCATGCGCAGAGCGCCGACTAGTCCGATCCAGCGAGCACTGAATCCTAGGCGATCGCGGCGGCGGCCGCGCATGCGCACTAGCGATCGTGGCCGCACCAATGAGAGCACAGGGCGGCCAATTTAAACCTGCCCTGTGCATCTCCAAATCGCCTTCTGGTCTTGTCCTGTTCCTGATTATGCCTGTGTTCCTGATACCTTGTTGCCGACCCAAGCCTGTTCCTGATACTGCTGCCTTCTCCTGCTCTGACCCCTGGCTAAGTCCTGACTATTCTCTACCTGTTCCTGATTGCCTGACCTCCTGTTACTGAACCCGGCTTGTGACCTGTTATTCTTCTGCCTGCCGCTCTGCACTGTCTGCTCCGCTGTTACTGACCCGGCACGTCTGACCACGCATACCTCTTCACGTCTGGCTCTCACCTGCTCTACGCCATTGGCTTCCGCCTCTACCACAGCTGGTGTTCCTCGGGGGTCGCGACCTGGTCTCAGGCTGCTTCAAGTCCATCCCCACCATCAGGGGCTCTGGTGAACCAGCAGACTGAGGCTTAGACTCCGCGCCCTGAGGGATTCCAGCCAGTGGGCTGCTAGAGGCTACCGCCAGTCGGTCACTGACAGTGTCTAAAAAGTTAAGTGAATAGTATCAGAATACAAAACAGAAGATACAAACAAATTGCCTTTATTGGCCATCAAAATAATCACCATCCTTCACACTTTTGGCAGCGTTCATAAAGCTTCTGGAAGGCCTCTTTAGCAATCAGTCACAGAACCGCTGTCACACATTCTTGGATTGCCACCACGTCTGAAAAATGTGTGCCTTTCATGATGCTCTTCAGGCGGGAAACAGAAAGAAGTCTGCAGGCACCAGATCAGGGGAGTATGGTGGATGATCGAGAACAGGTACGCCATGCAGAGCCAAGAATTGGCACACATGGATTGCACAGCGCGCAGGAGCGTTATCGTGCAACAACATCCACTGTCTGGTCCTGTGCAAGTTTGGCTGTACATGGCTGATGCAGGTGGCTCTTTTTGAGTCACAGGGAAGAATGCTATTCCATCGATTGCAGCGTGGATTCCGGATCAAACTGGTAGCACCAGGTCTCATCCCCTGTGATGATGGTTCACAGACAGGATGGATCCTGGTCACACATGGTAATGAAATCTACAGTAGTTTCCATCCATTTTGCTTTCTGTTTGTCTGTCAGCTTGTGCGGCACAAACTGGGAACAGATCTTACACTTACCCTAAT